TATTATCAACGACCTCCGCTTTGCTGGTGCTTCCATGCCCACGGAAATAACTTTTGAGCGGTTCGTCGATGCTGACAACGAGCTCGACTTCTGCGCAGTGCTAATCGACGAGGAAATAGTCAGTCAGGTTATGGCGGATTCAGACGACTCCGATGTCGAAAAAGAGGAACCAACGCCTGCGCCACCTACGACTGCCGAATTGATGCGAGCATTGATGACGCTGTCATCGGTGTACAGTGATGACATGACCCTTGCTCAGATCGAGGCGAATGTGATCACATGCAAGCGGAACGCCGTTCAAACAAGCATCAACAAGTTTTTCAAGCCACTGCAGCTCTAACACCGGCTGCCCTGGCGGCACCCTTTGTCGGCTGCATGCATTTTTTTTTTAACGGCTCCTTTCAGAGCCACCCCACTGATGCTTTGGCAGAGTTCCGGAAGTCTGGTACTTCGACCTTGACCCTCTTGATTTGAGAAATATCAATGAAATGGTGCGTTTTTTGCTTGCATTGAGAAATATTAGCAAAATGGTGCATTTTTTTTGCTTGCATTGAAAACTATCAGTAAAATAATGCGTTTTTTGCTTGCATTCATTTTTTCGGACGGTTTTTCGCTCCCTAGAAGGTCCGAAAAATCGGCAGTTGACTGTATAGGATATTCTATGCTACGCGGAACCAATAGGGAACAAAGCAGGGCATGAAGAAGAGAGCGCATGCCGGTTCCTGATGCTGATAGCTTTGTGGTGCCACCATACAGCGTACGAAAAGCTGAACAGCTCCTCTGTAAAACAGTGCAAATAATGAAGATCGAACAACCTCTACGTTATCGCTATGTACGCTAAGCGTAGTATGGAGCAAGTGGATAATGACACTTTTTGTAAAACACATACAGTTTATCTACAGTGTGGACCGCTTATAACGTAAGTCACGGGAGTTGTAAAAATCTGCGCTATAAGTGGTACCGCGTTATAACCAAAGCATGCTTTTTTCGGCCTTTGCCTATGTCAAAAGGGCAACCCACCTTTCAAAAGCAATTTACTACACTTTTCACTCGCAGACACATTCAACACAATCACAACACCGCACGGAAACAAAGTTCTAAAGTCCGGCATCAGCGGAAGAACGGCGTTATTTTCGTCTGGCGATGCTTGTGAACAGCACTGCGAACAATTTCGTCCTCCACAAAGCTTAAGCACTGAAGCAATTTCTCGCTCAAACTGTTTTTCGCGCAGTACGTTTTCACTTAAGGAGGTATTCCAATGTGTCTTTGCACGGGAAATTTGGTTCTGGCGTTGGGTCGACATCGTCTTCGCCATCCGACTCGTCGTCCGTTGCAACCTCCACACTACCGTGCACCGCTGCGACGATCGCGTCATCTGTGCTCGCTTCCTCGCAGACAGAAAGCTCAGACTCCCCGGCATCGACAAATTCTTGGAAAGTGTCGGTGGCGGTTACAAAGTTGCTGTCAACGAGGCAGGACCACACGTCGTCAGTGTTGAGGGTCTCATCGGCGAGCGGTGTCGCTCTGCTCATCGTTTTCCAGAGCCTCTGCATTGCGCACGAAGCCTGCCCTCTTGAAACACTTGCTCATGGTATCGGCCTTTACCTGCCACCATGAAGCGACCACCATGTCAATTGCGCCTCTTAAGTTCACTTTAAGAGGCTGCTGCTGCTACATGGTCAGCAAAACTCTCTTGCAAATGCGCTTTTTGTACAGCGCCTTTACGGTTGCGATGACACCCTGGTCGAGAGGTTGACTTTTTGCTGTAGTGTTGGCAGGCAAAAACTTTAGGTTGACTGCGGTCAACTTCGGCTTGACGTTGTGGGTTGTGCAGTTGTCGAGGATAAGGACGACCCGCTGCTTCTCTGCCACCATATCCTCATCAAACTTGCAAAGCCAGCTGGTGAACAAATCCTGCGTCATCCACGCCTTTTTATTGGCTTTGTAGGTCACTGGCAGGCACTCTCGCTTTTTAAAGCAACTTGGCCTTGCCGATTTACCTATGACAAAAAGGTGGCGCTTGTCGCTCCCGTCCAAATTGGCACAAAACAATACAGTTATGCGCTCCTTTGAGACCTTGCGTCCGGAGCAGGCTTCGCCTTTCAGTGCAAGCGTGCGGTTGGGCAAAAGGTTATAAAATAAACCAGCTTCATCGGCATTATAAATGTCTTTGTCAGTATAGGTCGACAGCATACTCTCCAAGTACAAGCGAAGCCAGACATCGATAGACTCGTCGTCGACAGCGCCGCTTTCTCCGCACACCACTTTGCAGCTGATGCCATGGCGATCTTTGAAACGCTGAATCCACCGTTGAGTGGATTGAAGTCGCCGTGGCCTAAAAGAGCTTCGAGACACTTGGCCTTCTCTTGGAGCATGGGGCCACTTACTGGGATGATCAGAGCCCTAACTTCGCGGAACCACCTGAACAGCGCTGCGTCCACGTCTTCGTATTTTGACGTACGTATTCTCTTCCGTGAAAGGGAAGGCGAATCTTGCTGCAGTTGCTGCCGCAGTTTCTCCTTGTTTTTGTAGATGGTCGACACGGTCGTGTTGGAAACGCCGTATTTCGCCGCCACCGACGCCTTCTTCAGGCCACTCTCAATGTCCCTTATGACGCATTCCTTAATCTCCAGCAATAAGGCACGGTGTTTTTTCACACCGCTTGAAGACGCCGCCGACGCCATGGCGACAGGAGCTACACTACACACGTGCTCTGGGCTCTCAGACGGCAACGACACGGCGAAGCGTACACAGCAAATCCAAAGAGGCAAAAGAAGGAGGTTGAGAAAAAAAAAGCATGCTACCGCTTCTCTCCCCCACTCGGTGCAGCGCGCACCCGGATTGGACGCTGCCACGGTCGCCACGGTGACGAAAACACGCTCCCTCCTTCCAAGGTCTCCCCGACTCCCTTCCTACTGTACCCTCCCTTCTCATCCGCATTGTTTGACTTTTCGCAGCGGTCCCCACGTGTGCCCTCCCGCTCACACTCACAACGTTCCGGCGTGCCGGGAACGTCGCCGGGAAACTGTGCTGACCGTGCTCCATTCGCCGATTTTATGGTCGCGCGCCTAAAAACTCCGCGCTATAACCGGTATTCTCCTTCGCGCGCCTACGCAATAAACGGTCGGCCTATACATTGAGTTCTATGGACGACATATCGGTGGTTAAAAAAACCCACGTTATAACCGGTCCCGCACAAAAAGCGGTTACATTATAAGTGGTCTGCACTGTATTCCTGCTGGAACACAGCAAAATGCTGATAGTTTTTACCAAGTGGCTACTGTAATGCAAGAAATAAATGATTTATTGACCAGGCATTTTCGCCTCGATATAAATTACACCACTAAAACACACGCAAAACTGCAATGTGGACACGAAAAAAGGAGAAAAATGCTCCGTGACTGCTTACATGATTCCGTCTCTTGAAATATCCTGACACTGTGTAAGTAATGTTGTGGTACGTTCCATAGATAGGGTAAGTGGCTTGGATGTGGTAGTGCAAGCTCTTTTAGCAAACTTGATGGCCGAAAACGTCAATAGAGAAGTGGTACATATGTGTCACTCTGTGCTGTTCGACACAAGATCAATTTTGCTATATTTAATACCCTATTTACTCGATTCTACCGCACCCTCGATTGTAACGTGCACCCGGTTTCCACGACGAAAAAAAAAAAAAAAGTAAGACATTGATTGCAACGCGCACCCATTTTTCTTGTTGGCCCACACGATCACACCACTCGAAAAAACGACTCCTTTCGGGAGCGTCTTCCATTTAAATATGAGGTACGGGGGAAGCTTGTGCCCATCTGACATGTAACAGAGCATTGCCGTCACTGTAGTTTTACCGTGGACCGATGTCAGCACTCGAACTTGCTTTGCCCCCTTCTTCTCGACGGTTGTGGCGCCAGGCATGTCGAAGTAAAGAGGCGTCTGATCGGCATTCCCGATTTGCCCAAGCAGGTAGCCGTTGTTGTGCCGCAAGTTTAAGACGAACCTCTGAAAACTGTGAAGCTTTTCATCATACTCCTCCGGAAACTTTTCGCACATGCCCGTTCGCCTTCGGAGGGAAAAGCCTTTCCTCTTCATAAAGTTAGTTAGCCAGCACCTGCTCGCTTTAAACTGGCTCCGCATTAGCCCTTTTTCTAAGTCTAACGGCATGGCCGGCATTTGGAGCGGTTCTGTTTGGTCACGGGCCGCTGTGCCGCTCGCTGCGCAAGCACATACTCGCCGAGCAGCTCTTCAATTTGCAGAAACCGACCCTGCTGTGGTCCACTGAAGCCTTCGCGTGAAGCTTTGCTGTCGACAATCTTTTGCTTTTGTTTCCGCCAGTCCTGCACGCACGTTTCAGGAACTCCGAATGACCGCGATGCGGCCCGATTTTCGTCCGTTTCTGCACACGCGATGACTTTTCTTTTAAAAGCGGCATCGTGGTGCACTCGAGTTTTTGGAGTCGGCCCTTCCATGCCGTCGATGCTAATGCACTACAAGATGACGAACTCTTCAGTATACATACAAAGTGCCGCACATGGGAAACACATAGGCAGAAATGGCCGACGCGCCATGCCAACGCACGTAGGGGGAGGCCATTTTGAAAATGCCGATGGCAATAGAATGACCGTATTCATTTTTTTTTCCGTACTCGATTCTAACGCACATGCGATTTATGAACTCACTTAACCGGAAAAAAGGTGCGCATTAGATTTGAGTAATTATGGTAATAGATAACCATACTACATCAATTCAAACTTGCAATATCGGGAGACATTATTGTGAACGTGTACAACAGGTAGCTTTCTCGTACATTGTTATTTTTAAGCACGAGACCATGTTTTAAACCATCTGATATTCAATATTTGTCTTCCACCCCCTTTTCTTTTTTTTCTTTCTTTCTGAGTTTCGTATTCAATTTAAGATCTACTGATTCACTGCCTATACACTCCCAAACATTGAAAGTATGAGTGCTCTTGCAGCAATGTTTTCTGCATTTGCTGTCTGTCCAGGCAAAAGCTCGAGCAAGCGCAACGGAGAGGACGTCAAAGAGAAGGACCGGTATAGGAGAGTGAGGGATGCGCAGTCCTTCCCAGGAATGCCCCATGACCAGCCACTCTCCTCTCTCCAGGAAGAGGTATCACCCAAAATTCGTGGGGAACGAAGAGCAGATCGTGACGACAAGAAACAATATCCTTCTTGACTCTCTGTGCTTTGAGGATTGTTTAGAAAGCTCAGAAATAGCTGAAAGGAATCTCTTTCAATAAGATATGCAGCAGAAGAGAGGTGCTGCATGAATTGGTGATCACCCTGTTAAGAAATCTACCCTCCATGTCATAATGTGTACAGTGTTGGTCAAAAGCTCTGAAGCCGCAGAGCTGGCAAAGGAGCCGCAGCTCGCTGCTGACTGGTTGCTGTCATCGCAATCATGCCTTGGTGCACACTGACGTTGAGTGTGTGCATGGAGGTGGCGTGCATCACTCTCCCTTTCTTGTTCTCCTTCATAATAAAAGGAGGAATAAACATAATGTGTCATGTTCCCTCCTGTTCACTTTTCAAAGTGTATACTACAGTGCAGCACTTCTGGATGGTCGAACGAGCCCCAACACATGCACATTTCCACACATTTCGGGCTCTAACCATGTTCCTCTCAAGCGAATTGGACTGTGCTTGACGGCTGATGGAGCTTCTGCAGTGTTTCTGGAAAATTCAACGCACGATACGGTTCTCCAGGTAGCCGAGTACTCCGGCACTGTATACAGTGTATAGCTAAATGTGGCTGTAAGCATGGTGCATGTTTTCCAGAACACTGCCACCTCGCTCTACACGGTAGTGAAAGAGTACGATGAGGGAACATGATGCACCATGTTGATCTCCTGATTTCTTATCAAGGAGAGCAATAGAGGGAGAGGGATGCACACCACCCTCCACGCACACGCTCGACGTCGGCAGGTGCCAATGCGCTATTGCGATGACAGCCCCCAATAGTGGTGAGCCGCTGCTCATCGGTCAGGCGTTGCAGCCTAAGAACTTTTTACCATCTTTCTAAGTAGTTTTTCAGTAGGATAAGTTGTGTGGAACAGCTCTTAGAATGCTTTGTAAAAGTTTGAGACAGAGCTAGCCCCTTTGACTGTTATGCAAGCTGTGCGAATAGTACTTCTGTATGAGCCTTTCGTAGTCCGTTGTCAGGCCCGTCCCAACAAGGCCGCAGGGGTCTGCTATTGGGCGCCACATGTTGCCCATATACTGTACTTACTCGCATAATGAACCTGCTCACATAATGATCCCACCTCCCACTTTGGTCCTTGAAAAAAAGAAGTCATTTTTTAATTTATCTGCTCATCTTATTTTGATTTAAACACCGTTTAATCACACCGTTAATGACAATGCAATAAAAGTCAAAATCTAGTTCAACAACCATGCTAAACAGTTGCGAGCGTGGATGTTAACCGTAATTTAAGTCTTGTTTTTATGTGGCAAAGCGTCATCTGTCGAACGCAGAAGAAACCTCTTTGCTTATAGCGTCACAAAAGCACAGCAGCGCGAAACGGAAGCAAAAAGCAAAGCGCGACCATGGCGCAACAGCACCCACTACGTCAATGACATGATGTGCACCCGCATCATGCATACGTCTGCCAGTACTTGTGCATACGTCTGCCAGTACTTGTGCATATTTTGTTGTCGGGTTTGTCGTAGTAGATGATTCCACGAGATCGAACATGCGTGTCCGGACGACAATTGGTTTTTTTTCTTTTCTTTTAAATATGTTATGTAGGTATATTCGAGGTGCATGGAACCAAAATTTTTATTTCCAAAATCTGATCCCGTCGTGCCGAAAAATTGTCTGAATATGGTGGCGTGTATGTCTTGCTATTGCTTGCCGCAACATTTCTTGTCCTTGCAGGTGAATTAAATGTGCACTGTAAACGTTGTGTTGAAACTTTTTCTTTTTGGTTTAATACACATCTCAGTTAATTACATCCATGCTTGCTGATGCGTTTGCGAATGAAAGACAGGAGATTCGGTGGCGAAACACCAGAAGAAAGGTGGATGTACCTGTTCAAGTCATCAATAGCTTCTTCTTTTTTTTTTTCCCGAAGAAGTGTCCGGTCTGTTTCATCGAACTGCTCGCTGCATGAAGAGAGGATTTTCTTGAGGCACATAAAACGGTGCTGTCAAGCCTCGTCGGCGTCACGAATAGCCTGAGCCTTTGGCAGTAGCTTTTGTAGAGACACACAGGGGTGAGACAGCTGCGCATATTGCACATTTGATCTATTTCTGTTTTCTTGCACCGAGCTGCTCCAAAAGCATAAAAATCGCTAGAACTGTGCCAAACTGCTTCGAAACAGCCTCAAAAAGCAAGAATTTGGATGTCAGCCTTAGCTTCAGTGGGGGAAAAATGCAAGTTGACTGCAGGATTATATCTCTATCTCAGTCATGAAGGTCGCATTTCGATAGCGGCAAAGTGATAGAGGCGTGAGACATTAGATTTAAGTGCATCTTAATGAACAGGTGGGGTGAAATTTGTGTATCGTTCCGCTACAGTGTCTGCCATAATGATCTTGTGGTTTTGTGATGTAAAACGTCGCCTATGCATTGTTCTCGGTGTGGAATAGCTTTTGGCACAATCATGCAGCAGTTCACTTTTTCAAACAGCCGAAATGCGGGGCTAAAGGTTGAGGTTATACAGGAAGAAGTCATCTGAGAGCGATGCGAAGAGGTGAGCTGGAAACAAAATGAATGGCTCGGTAGGTGGCTGAGGCGATGTCTCCAAAAGCTCATTTACGTATGCTGTGCGTTGCACTACGTGGTTGAAGGTCTCTGTATCTATTGGACGGTGTACAAAAGGAACAGGCAGTGGAAAAGCACTTTCATAACGGCACACATACTCATTATGGAAGCCTCCAGTTATGGATAAGAGTTCCTTGGCGCCATTTACACAAGCTGGACTGCGTGCGCCTGGCTGGTTTCGGCGAGGTCATCCAAAACATTCTTTTGCGGTGCTTAGCATGGCTTTGACAGCTAAATACTGTTGGCGTTAGTTCACGTTGTAGGCGGCAAACTGGGAATGCATTATCACTTTAAAGGGCGGCCATCCTCCGGTCTGGCGCACAGGGGCACCCTAGATCCAATAAAATCTCCATATAAGTTTACTCAACACAAGCTATCAGAATAAAGTTCTTCTGCTGCAAAAAATTCTAATTGTAGGTTTTAGTAGAACGCAGGCTCATGGACAACCAGTAAGGGCCATGAACCAAGCATCATTAACCAATAAGCACATAGCTTATAAAAAAAAGACAGAACAAGAATATCGTTCGGACAAGCATGTTCGATCTCTCGTGGAATCACCCTAGTGAACCTCGTGCTACGTAGGGCACAATCAGCCCGTATGGTAGCTACATGGCTGGTTTTAAAGTTGGTCGAGCATGCGCTGGAGCACAGAAACCGAGTGGGTGGACGTCACTTCAACGTCGATTCGTGCACGTTTGTTACTGGAAATAACAAGATGAGCTTCAAGATACAAAAAGTAGTCGGGGGGAGGGGGAGATCGTTGTGCGTGTTTCACGGGCGAAACAAGGACAGTTTCTCCGAAGTTCTTGATTAGAGGCTCCGTAATCCTGCCGCCAAATTGAAGGCCAGCAGCTGTGGGAAAGTAGTTTTTTCAATACTGCCATGTACAATTTTCGTTGCTATAACCCTCCTGACTTTTCTCCTGCGTAATGAACCCTCCCCCCAAATTGGTGTCAACTTTTCTGGGAAAAAGAAAAACGTGGCTTCATTGCGCGAGCAAATACAGTATTATAGCTAAAATACAAGCACAATGTCAGTTTTAAAAAAAGAACATCTAATTTGCTTTTCTCACAGAATGGTTGCTTTCAAGGTTCTCAAAAGTAGCAAACTATTTCTGCCCTGGAACCTTCAGAAAGTCAGTAGAGGTTTCAGACAGCGAAGCGTTAATTAATTACATGCAACATTCTTTGAATTTAAAAGGTGTTGATTCAGTGTGCAAGTAAATTGGCCCTTTTCACTATTGCTAAGCTAGCTTTTCATTGAGGCACCGCGGTTATGAAACCAATAGCTTTTCGGTCTTTTTTTTTTCTTCCCATAAATAGTGGATACAAGCACAGTTTGATCATCTTTATAACACAGGAACTGTAAATATGGCTCTTGCAATGAGACTATGCAAGAGACAACCTAAATATGTGCATATATTTGCTCTCTGTCTTCATCTCAACCATGATAAGTGACACCATTACTTGTGTTAAGGCGTAACTGTACAGATATGTCCACTGAAAAACTGGACTACGTGTCTGAATTTCTTGAATTGTTATTCTTTGTACTGTTAGTTCTAGTTGTTCTATATTTGCCTCCTTAACTTTTCATACTCATCGTTCGAGTAGCAGCAGTTCAGCATCTGCAAAGAAGAGGTCATCGTTCTGATCCCAGTGTTCCAATTGGAGAGTGCATCCACTTCACCACTGGTTGCTGTGTCAAGCCGCTGTCATCGGTCGCCCGTCCTTGTCACCTCCAACAGTGCCTGTACAGAAACGAATGTTTTTTTGTTGATCATTATAAACATTTCATTGTGTTAGCAACGTCAAGCTGTTTATGTTGTCTGCTTCATCCTCCATCTCCTGGCCTGATTCTGTACAATAAAATTATAATGGTGCCAGGAACTATTGTTTTTATTCCATATTTACCATGCTGCTTTTAACCACAAAGCTTTCTACAAATATTACTGGAGGAAACTGCGACGAGAATATCGGTCGGGAAGCAGAAGCATTACAGTTAGGCATGTGCGTATATTCGAATGCTTCGAATATTCGAACGAATAGTAGAGTATTCGAATTCGCCTCGATTCGACTTTAAGTTACTGAAAATTTCGAAGTATTCGCAATGAACGAGTAAATGTACACGAGTCCGCATGTGACCGCCTGTGAAGGTGGTTTCACAGCCTTGCAGGCTGCTAAGCCGTAAAAGCACCTTTCTAGGGAAAATTCGCTTTGCCGCGAAGCCCCACTTCAGATTCAAAAGGGCTCTGCAACACACTTTTAGCATGGTCAGCAAACGCTGCCTCTTGTTGGTCGAAGTCGCCGAGAACACGTGAGCCAAATATAACGCAACACGTTGCCTGCGAGTCACAATAGATTATCAAAGTCGGTTAAGAATTGCTTAAAAATTGGCAAATAACTCCACAAGCTAAAAAATCAAGTGGCACAGCTGTTGTATCAGCAATTGCCTGATTTGAGCATGGCGCGCTTGGTTGTTCCAGGGGCTGTCGTGGGAGGCCGCCACTTGTATAGGCGTACGTGCACGACACCCATGAAAAGCAGTGTACTAGAAAAGGGGGAAAAAAAGAGAGCGAGAAAGAAAATGCTGAAGGGTCATGAGGCACGTGTGATGTTTTTTTTTTTTTTTTCACCGGATATGGGCGGGGCTTTCGGCACCGCTTTCTTTCTTCTCACGACCTCAATAAAGTTCATACTCACCCATTTGCCCATCCAATTCCTCCATGCCTAGCCTCCAGCGCTTTCGTAAGGGCGAGGATATCTTAGCAACTCACGGAGAAAGGAAATATATATATTTTTTTCTTTCTCCATGTTGCAACTCCGCTCGTACTGGATGGATTCTAAATATTTCTGCGGCAGTGAATTCGGGGGGGGGGGGGGGGGGGCAACAAGTTTCTTTAGTGAATTCATTTCCTGGCAAATGGGAAAAGTGTTGCAGGGCTTATATGAATGAACATATTACCATTGGTTCATCATTTTTTTAGCTTAAAAGCTTATAACGGCTTGTGTGCTCCAATGTAAATTTTAAATAGTTACGTATTTTACAGGTTACCACTCGCATCATACTGAAAGTCATATCCTGCTACTGCTCAAAGTTGTTCTGACTTCCTTTAAACGAAAAAAAAAAAGTGGCATTTCCTTAGAGGCATATCTTCAATTAAAAAAAAATATTGTGCAGGTTAGCTAGGTCATGATAAATATGCTCATTTTATTTATATGTCATACTATATACTATTCAAAATCGATTCGAAATTATTTGACCAAAATCTCTATTTGCTTCAAACCTGAAATTCACTACTCGCACAAGCTTAATTACAAGGATCCATCACCAGAATAATACGTAGTACGTGAATTCGTCCAAGCTTTATATGGTTTCAAATGGTCTTGTGACCGACATATAGTCTGTTCAGAATATTTCCATAAGGCAAAAGTTTGTAGTATTTTTGCATGTACACAGACTCAATTTAAAAAAAAAACAAGATTGCGTAAATATTTGAGCCATTTATGCGAGTAAGAGTATAAACCTTCAGTGAAATCGGAGGTGTGAACTCGGAACTACCACTCCACCACAAAAACCATTCCAACAAAATCTACGGCTCAAGTGCATGAGGAATGTGCCGCTATTTTCTATGCCGTTTAGCATGCGAGTTGAATTCGCATCGCATAAGTTGCATCAGTTTGAGTGCATGAGATGGGGCGGAGCAAGAAGGTTTCTTGAAGCACTAAAGCAGGACTGAAATGTACAAAGAACCGAAACCGTCCAAACGTGCAAATAATAAAGACGCCTCAAATTGCACTTTTAAGACGCTGTGAACTTAATCCTTTCGCAGCTTGCGACGAAGCGTGGTGCCAACAACGCTAGATTATGCTGGCTATGTCTATGCTGGCTGTGAGTGCCAACTTTTATATATTAGAGCACGGAGGAAGGAAATGTATTAGAGCCAGTGACGTCAGAGCCGCCATACTTAAAACTGCAATGTTCGTTTGGTAGTCAAATAGTAGCCGAGTCAAGTCGAAACAAGCTCCTATTGGTGTCCACACGTTTTGCGGGAACGGTGGTTTTGGGTGCTTTGATAATTTTCGTGTCTGGCCCCTTCGACGTACTATTTCAGTATGGCTATGCTATTGTAACTCATCAAAAACACCTTTTCCTTTCCCGTTTGTCATAACACCGGTACAGCCACCATGAACAGAACCGGAGTGTCGGTAAGCATATCCCTCGCGATAATTTCATAAATAAAACGGCTGATTTTCGTCTGCTACTTTCTTCTAGAACCTACTACAGCTCACAAGTCGGGCTTTAAGGACCCCTGTCACCACCTCAAGGTCCATCATGAAGTACCACGAACCAGAATATCTCAAGGTGTAGCCGTGCGTCTTGCGTGTCGATAACTAGTTCTGTGTGTTGATGCCTCTATTTGACATGCTGTTTCTCAATTGTTTTCTCACGTGCAGTATTTGCAACCGCCTCTGCCAGTGTACGATGGATTTATTAACGTCCAGTTGAAAGGTTATGATTTCACCGTGCTCGAGAACAGTGCAAGAAAAGTGGCTAAAATAGCCTCGATGTTGGGCATTCGGGTTTCTGAATGGTAAGCCAGCAGTCGCGTAGTACTGACAGTCTGCTTGTCTGACTTTAGCGCAGCGCTGAAGGGGCTTCAGTTTTAGTACGCTTATGTACAAAAAGACAGCGAGTTTGCTTTCTTTTCTTGCAGCTGGGCTACCCCTCTTGAATCCATGGCCATATCTACGTACAAACCGCAGAGCACTACTGTTGAAGACACATTCAAGCTGAACGTTTACGAGCGAAACATTCAGGTGATTGATTACCTTGCCTTGCATGCGCTAATGTGTAAATCTTGGGGTTTCAGTTCAGTTTTATACATAGTGTTCATGTGATGTCACTTCCGCCGTTGTCGCCATCTCCCGCCATGCCTGGGTACTTCGCTGGGTATCTACAGCAGTTTGCGTGCTGCAGCGCGGTTTGTTGAGGGCTCATCATCTGTTGCTGTGCGCGATGTTTAAAGCAAAGCCGTGTGGTTTTTCGTTGTGATGCTTTAGCGAGCTCATCGGGTCAGGAAGGCCTCGCTTGTTCACTCGATACAAGACCAGAAAATCAAAACGTGTGACACGTATACAAGCCACCGCGTATACCGGCTGCCCGCCACGATCTACGAGGGCCCATTATCTCGCTTTCACTACAAATTGCGTGGCCCAAGAACAAGTGAAAGCTCAAAGTCTCTCGAGCCGCAATTTTAAAAGTGGATGAGCGAAGCGCACAGCTCCCATCGAAAACGAGTCATCGTGCAGAGCTAGGCAAGTTTGCAGAGATATATTATTAATAATAATTTTAATATGTTGCTGCGGCCCACACTACCTAAATAGCAGTGCGGCTCCCCGAGTCTTTTGAACAGTGATAATGTTGAGCGTCTTTGATATTAATTTGTGGAAACAGCCGAGGAATATATTATGCAAGGTAGAGACCTCGCATGGTGCATGCCGTGGTGACGCCGGTTAATTTTTTTTGTTGCGTATGTTTTGACACATTTTTTACCTTGTATATTACTTTTGTTGTTGTGCGCTACTGTACCATAGAGCCCCTGAAAAAGATGGAGACCATTTTAGGGAACCAATCGACCAATTTTTAAAAAACCTGACCCTCCCAACTCGTACTGATCGGCTATACTTCAAATCGGGAGTGAACGAATAGTGTTTCACATTCATTTTCACAGTTTGTTTGAACGCAGTACCCGATTCCCGCATTCGCCTTCACAACTTTAACCGCCTTCCTGACACGCTGATTGCGCACGCAGCGGTCGCGGACAAGCTTGTATATACAGTACCTATCTCTGTTTGTAGGTATGTGCTTGTATATAGCACTTACCCGTAATGAAGTTACACCTGAAGACACGAATATCACTGGTTCTTCTAGCCGTTTTCGATAATCTGCACCAGCCAAACATGCCAGTGCTTTTCGGAAAATCGCAATGTGCATTCTCAATTTTAGGTAATAACTTTCGGCAAAGAGAACACCCTGACTCTCTGCTCCCCCTTCGTGGACTGCTATATCAACTTGCCTCACCAGCAGCTGATAATTGCTCAAACTTGTATCGTTAGGCAAAACTGAACGGGCGCATGCATGAGGGAACAACACAGCAGCGGTCGGCCACGGAGTCAGTAGGTACCCGGGCATGCCGGTGGCGCATTTCTGAAATGACGAATTGGCGCTGCGTGACGCACGTGCACACTATGTATACAGACCTGTAGTTGTCATGTCGCATCTCCGACGCAGGGATCGTTTAAAACATGGTGCAAGTAATCGATTAAGAGATGCTGAGGAAACCATAGAGCGGTAGTGTTGACCCGCCGTGCGACCTCAAGGAAAGCTGCGTCAATGAAATATGTGTGCCTCAAAAACGACAGTTGGAGGCAATAGTTTCGTTCTGCGGCAGCCATGAAGTATATTGGACTTCGATAGCGAATTTGTGGATATATAGTAATTAAACATTTATTAAAAAAGTGTGTTTGTGTGTGCCTGAGAGAAGCTTTTCGAAAGCCAGCAAATCTGATTCAGATGAAGAGTGAAGGAGTCTGGACGTTCGCAGTGTTGCTTCTCAGCCAGTGATGTTCTTCTCTCCTGCTCCTCCCTTACCCTTTGTTGACTAACTTCGAAGGAAAATGAAAAGGATTAATCAAAGTAAAATGAAAAGGAGTTTCACCACCGATGTAAAAGTGAAAGTTTGAAGCAATGATGGGAGAAGTAAACAGTTCACAGTTCTTGGAATGCTAACTTGGCTTGCTCCTCAGATTATTAGAAAGCGATTGGAGGGGGAGGGGGGCTGCATTTATTGTAATACAGTCTCTCGTATTATCAGTATGCCGCCTGCCTCTTCCTCGCAGCTTGCTGAAATAGATTACTGCTAAGAAATGGTGAAGCTCTTGTGCCATATATTGAACAGTAATCTGAATGTGCAAACATTGTAAGTTTCGCATATGATGTGGACATAAATTGTTGGTGCACTTTATTAAAGTGCTCACGCGATAAAGCACCTTCACAGTTATGTTTGTAGTTCTGACAAGGAAGGTCATATAGAACTGAATAAATTTTCATACGAGGCACAGAAACTTATGGTGGCGATGATGGGATTGGCCAGTCATTATATATTCAAGCTATTTCACCAATATAAAACAAGTGCTTAATTTGAAGCAGGGTCTCATGGATGACACTTTTTGAAAATCTCGCACCGAGCCAAAAATATGCTGGCCAGAATGAAAAAAACGTTGATTGTATTTGTGTCGGGGGGTCGGGTTATGTTAGGCTGTTTGAAGGGATGGAGGTGGGACGAGATCGCCTTTCTTGCTGGGTGATCAAGAACACCTGCACACATACAGGCACACCCTTTCATGCACAAATACACAAACAATACATGTTGAAAAAGCCCCAAGTGCACAAGAGGAATGACTCGGAATGTGCTAAAGTTCACCCAAGCTACAGCAAGAGCTGGTTAATCTGACACCTGTTAGTTGAGAAATTGGACTATTCGGGTGCATTATCTGGTCCCGGCCAGCATATGTGTTTGATAACAGCAGACTGCCGTTAATTTGGTGATACTTTCATTCATTTCATTTATTTGACCCTAAAGGCCCAAGAATGGGCATTACATAGGGGGAATATAATACAGACTACAGCCAATGAAGAAAACCAAGTAAAAGAAGAAAAAAAGAGCATGACAAAAAGAAAAAAAAAATGCTATAACAAGCAAAAATGCATACACAATCTAAAAAAGGCAAACAGTTCAGTGATACAAGGTTCAGTAGAGTGAAATAAGTGATCAATGAATATATGACAGAGTACAATCTAGCAAAAAATATGCATAGAATACTGCAAACTTTGAATCCGACGATTAAGCTAGCATGGCAGGACTGCTCACTTAGGCTAAATACTAGTAGGGCTGACTGGAAACTTCTGTAATATTTGCAATGTTGCAAGGAAGGGCATTCCACTCATTTATTAATAAAACCAAGGGGCAGTGTAAATATTTTACTGTGCGATCAAATTGTGGACGTACCTTGTGATCGCGATCACTGGAACTCTTGTTAATTTGGGTGGTCCTATGAGCACGCCACGCGCGAAGCAGAGCAAATGTGTGACGCGAAAGAGTAAAAACTGCGTTCACGTACAACTGAGCCAAATAAGACGGTGCAGTCTTCATCATCGTCAGCGTAAAATCGATGGTGACGATGTTTTGGGTGGAGGAAATTAAGTACAATACATCTCCAAGTGTTTTGTGGCATCAAGGCAAATTGACCTGCTCTGAAGATTTTGCACGCATGAAACATAATTAAGTTTATAAGACTCCAGATTGACCAAAGGAATATGATTGTGTATTTTACATATGCAAAGACATTTGATGGGCCAAATTCAATAATATTTACAATATCACCGGACAGTGTTTCTGAGGTGCCACAGATGCTTCTCGCGGCATCAGAAATCTCGGCAGCATTTATTTTGGTTTTGTTGTTTACCATTGATAAAGTTCTACATTGCATTTAAGATGAACTGAAACTGTCAAACTTAAAAAAATAATAACTGAAATGAACTGGTAAAAACGCAAGAAAATACTTCGAAATTATTGTCCTCACTCTGAAGTGCATGTGTGACCATGTAAGCTCAAAGTGAATTCTATCAGCAATAAGCAAAAATGTGTACTCTTTCAACCAACATTTATCTACCAAGTGTTTGGGATTAGAGTTTTGTAATTAAATTGTACCATTCTGAATTTATTGTCTTAATTCATTGTCTCTTTATAAAATTGGGCCAACTGTGGGCAGTTGGCTGAACTGTCAGGAGTCATGGCACCTATCTTTCTGGAGGCTGTCCAGCTCAGCCTGGCTGAGGGAGTCCGGCTCAGTGTTCACCGGCACCTACCCGAGCACGAGGAGATTCGCTACGTGCCCGACTTGGAGCTGGAGGAGCTACAGAGGCAGCTTGAAGAAATTGTCAACCCACCTACGTCAAAGCACGTCAAGAAGCCGTTCTGATGCATTTTGTATAGCTTTATGTGTAAATGAATTGTAGAAGCCGTCAGAATGTCTGATTGTGTCGTCTCCGCTATTTCTGTTACTGCTGTCTGATCTCTTGGGGTTTCATTTTGGTGCATTGCTATCGCCATAGTGGAAGTCACAGGATGCACTGTCTCGCCAAGTTGGTCTCACTGGCTGTTACTGTGAAACTTTACTTGAATGAACTTCGAACCCTGCACTACACTGAAATAGCTATGTTGCAACTTGTTGATTGACTGATTACTTTGTGGGGTTTAACGTCCCAAAATCACCATTTCATTACGAGAGACGCCGTAGTGGAGGGCTTTGGAAATTTTGACCACCTGGGGTTCTTTAACGTGCACCTAAATCTGATCACACAGGCCTACAACATATCCGCCTAAATGCAGCCGTCACAGCCGGGATTCGATCCCGCGGGTCAGCAGCCGAGTACCTTAGCCACTAGACCACCGTGGCGGGGCTGTTGCAACTTGTTATTAAAAGCTAAAGAAAACATCAGTCGCTGAAGTGAACTTTGAACCCATTTATTTCCAGTGCTCCTTATTTATGTATCTATTTATGTATGATACCATCAGAGTCAACTGACATTACAGAAGAGTTTGGTAAAACATTAAAAACAATATAAGTACTACAAAGAGGCAATACAATACAATAATAGTTAATGATAAGCACAGTACAGCAGAAATCTATAGACAGGACACGAAAATTGACGACCAAAGGCGTGTATATATATGAAAACGCAAGAAAGAAAAAAAATGACTCCGGTGCACGGAATCGAACGTGGGACCTCCATATCGTGAATATCTGCCGAATATCCGCGTTACCCCTGAACCACTAAGCGGTACATTCTTCGGCGTTAAAATGGCAAGCTATGTATATCTATCACTTAACGCTGTTGGCGGGCATCCGGGGGGGGGGGGGTCTATCGTGTTTTCAGCATTAGCAGCAAGATGCGCAATGAGCGCGCGGCGGCTGTCATCTTTCAGGCGTATTTTGGCCCGCGGAGAGGAGTGGAATGGACGATCTCTCGCGCGCGCTTATCTCCCGTTGGGAAGGATCGTACGTCTTGGCAGGCAGCGTTGGGTTTGCTGACCCTCCTGTCCCTTTCCTGTTTTACGGAGTGACAAAACAGCTGAGTGTTAGATACGTACTTTGAAGCAGGCTTTGTATCGCCAGTCATACCTAGGGGTTTTCGTAACCGTTGCCAGTTCCACATTATAGAAAAATGGATTTGGGCTTCTTTTTCGCCGAGTCGCTCGTAGAACTTCTTATAGTCAGCTGCCACATTTTTAGCGGGAGGGAGGGGGGCGTCTGCATTTTTCAGGCAATTAAATGAAATTATTTTAGTGATCATCGCGTTAACCGAAAGTGCGTTTTTGATATTTAGGTGTTGAAGTCAGACATACGTTCCGGGAAACAGCACAATGTTAATGATGCTCTGCCAAACGTGCATTCAATCAAACGGGAGGTACCTTGAAGACAATGTTGAAAAGTAGATATCTTTCGTTCGCAATTCGCGTATTTTCGCTGTACAAAATAAAGTGATTTTTTCCAACTCCCCTTCGCAGCTTAGTGACATTTCTTGCTATATTTAAAAGGTATATTCAAGAATGAAAAAAAAATTAAATTCCTGCTTCCTTTGGGCTTTTCGAAAGTCGTCCCACTTTTTTTTTTTTTTTTGGGGGGGGGGGGCTTTTTTGTAATGATTATTTGCTAGTTAGCCTGGTAGCTTCGGCAACTCTGTCGTAAGGACTCGACTTGTTTTACGCGTTGGCTAACACACTTGATATGTGTTTACGCCGGGTTGATTTCTTGCAAACTCGAATAATTTTTCATCTTGCTTCACCTGTAGCTACACAAAAGTTTTTGGCAGCACTTACATATTTTTTTCTTTCAGTGTTCCTCTCGGAGAAAGCAGTTTTTCATTAGATTTTAATTCCGGAAATTTAACAATTATAGGCGGGCCTTTGCTTTGCGCATATGAAAACCGATGGGCTTGATCAGATGGTGCCCACGATTCGTGAGAGTCTGGAGTACTTCGCAAAACTTACAGGCCAAGAGAAAAAAAGATGGAGACATGTCCACCATAGGAATAGTGGATTCCACACTCCACTAATGCACATGTGGTGAATTTTGGTGCTGTAATTATTGGTGTCGTACGGTGGAAGAGCCAGAGAAGTGCCGGCGGGTGCGGCCGGTGGCTGTGGGTGAGCGGAGGCGTACGTTCGCTGGAAGTGCTGGAACCGCGTCGCATCGATGTTCGTCGCTTCCTGCGCGGACGCCATGCACAATAAAAATGCTTCACTTAGGTTAAATGATGCCACAGCTGTGCTGTATTGTCATGCTTACTCGTCGAAATCATCGTGTATTCTGAAACTCAGAAGCGCCGATAAAACTTGGAAGGGCTCGGTCGGTAAGCCTAACCTTTGGTGAAAATCACGGTGGCAGAACATAATGGTGGAAGTCACACGCGCTGGAGCCCGTCTCGACACATTTCGAAGGTAAAAGCATGGGCATTTTAGCGTCGCACGCACTTTGTAAATTTAGAAGTACGGCTGAGGTAATTAGGTGTGCAAGAATTGCCAGAGCTGCGCTTTTAGCGTGGCGACATCATGTGATCTCCGTATTTTGGTCCACCGTTGAAAGGGGCAATGGCGAACTAGAGCTCATTTATTTCTCAACAACTGCACGGGGATGTACCACATTTACTGTCGCTGTTCACAGCGACACTTCTCGTCTTTTAAACATCACAACAAAGCAGCACATCGCGCGCATGTCAAACTCATGTAAGACGTGCACGAAATTCTACGGACGCGCATTCTACACTCCACAAAAATTGGGGGGTTCTTGACACCGCAGGAATAAAAAAAAAACGTGTTAGAAAGCATAATGACTGACGTTAGTTCCGTTCGACCGTAAACACATATCTGTGTGCATATTAGAGAGTGAAACACTACAAATAAGTCATTTCACATACATGTGCTTTAACATCATGCCGCCATCATACACCAAGCTTCCATCACGCCACCGTCATCCCAGCTTGCTCGCCAAGCCATCCACTAAAGACGTTTTACATCGCTAACACAAGCCGGCATTTTCCACTGTCACCACCATTGGCTTGCCACCATCACCATAATCTGCCACCATTTTTTCCACGTTTGCCGTCATCAGTCATTATTACCACTTCAGCATCAACCATATTAATTCCACCATATCCCGTATTCTTTCCATCATATCCACCAACGATTCCACCATCCATTAACCCAAGATTTTCAATAGAGAACAAAGAAATGTTGCCCCCCCCCCCCCTTAACAAAAAGCATTGAGATGTTACAATAGGTTGTGAAGGGTTTAAATTCGTGAAAGTTCTAACAGGTTAAACTTCCTGGGTTGCTATAGACACAAAATACTAAGCCGGAAATCAGAAATGCCTCACCTGCAGGCGCGGCTTGCCATACAAAAAGCTCACGTGACCTTACGCACACTGAAAAAGAAAGCAATCATGCAGAATCTATTTCAAGAGCATCAAAAAATGGCTTCGCAACAATTTTTGAATGCGGTCGAAAATTCCTCCGATCGGTAGTCGATGGTCCTAGGAACATGCGAACCAACCATTAAATATTGCAGCACAGAGCGTGGCACAGAATTAACTAAAAATGTTCAAAATCAGATAGAAGTCACTCGCTTTTTTCTTGACAAATTATACCATGTACACTGAACTGCGCCACATACCAAAAAGGCGCAACCATTGGCTGATATCGTGAGTGGCATAGTTACCGTGGCTGCCGTGGAGAGCCGCGGCACAGGCATGTGAGCTCCGCGCGCAAGGTGAATCGAACGTGGGTTCAAAGAAAACGTGCTCTCTTTAAGCCCCTCCCTGTGAAGATTTGGGTGACTTCGCTAGGACAAAAAAAAAAAATTGCAGCATATCCATGGAGTGAATGATGGGTAGTGGGGCGAAGCATCCGTCCGTCGATTCGTTCTTGCTTCCGTCCATCCATGCGTGCGTCTGTGCGGCCGCCCGTGCGTCCATCCGCCCGTCCGTGCGTGCATCTTTTCGTGTGTCCGCACGTTCATCTGTGCGTCCGTCCATGCATCCGCTCCTGCGTCAGTCCATGCGTCCATCCGTCTGTGCAGCCATCCGTGCGTCCGTCCATGCATCTGTCTGTGTGTCCGTTCGTCCATATGTTCAACACTCCAAGTACCAGCTTCTCGCATCTTTTCATCATATATTCCCCATATAGAAGCACCGCCATCCAGCGGACATTCCAAGGACTAAACGAGAGGTGGCACACGCACACTTTCTTATGGCTTGCGCTTCGTGTCTACTTCCCACCTTTATTCACTTCGAGTTCGTGGTATATACTAGTTCACTGTATTCATGGCACTGCGGCCCAACGCTCGCTAAACCTTTCTAAAACCTAGAAGGTTACGCCCAGCGAGTATGACGTAGCAACCCTTTCTTGTCTTCTGTGCGTTGTTGAACAATAAAAAATTCACAGCGTGCGCGTTATCTAAAAGCCGAATTCTCCTGTCTCTCATTCCCCCTTAGCAGCCATTGGCATGTACATTGAGCATAATCTTTCATTGTTCAACAACGCACAGAAGAAATATCTCACCGGCACCACCTTGGAGGTCAAAATGTTATACTTGAAACAAACTACTACAACGGCTACGAGGGACGAACGGGGGCCGCTACAAGGAGCTTCGGCGTTCCAGTCTTCAACGCGGTCAGCGTTCCGGCGGCGTTGCTGCCGGGTGTCCACTCGTGACTTTGCCAGCTAGTTTTTTTTTTATGCCTGATCCCATCGTCGTCGGCCCCTGCTGGGACCAGCGAGGATGGCGTCAAGGCCTGCGGCGCTCCCGCTCAAGGAGCACTGCTTCAACCTCACCGTCCCGGAGGGGACGGCGTCCGTCGACGAGATCATCGATGGCCTCGAAGACTTCATGGGGAGTGAATGGGTGCTGTTCCTGCAACACGTCGGAGCTTCGAAGTTCCTAGTTGCGGCTCGGTCGGCTGCACAAACAACCA